CTAAGGAGAAACTTCCTGACAGTCAGAACAATTAATCAGTAGAACAACCTGCCTCCAGAAGCGGTGAATGCTCCAACACTGGAAGTTTTTAAGAAGAGACTGGACAGCCATTTGTCTGAAATGGTATAGGGTTTCCTGCCTGAGCAGGGGGTTGGACTAGATGACCTCCAGGATCCCTTCCAACTTAATAATAATAATAATAATAATAATAATAATAATAATAATAATAATAATAATAATAATAATAATAATAATAATAATAATAATAATAATAATATCTGCTTTGCAAAACCACACACAATGAAAGCTTAAGATAGTATGCGTGTGTCACAGCGAGTTTATTCTACCAAGCATAATTTATTTTATGTTCACAGCCTCATTGGGTCCTTCAGCTCATATAACCAGACAACCTGGCTTCCTTCATTAGCTGGAGGACTAAGGCACTGAGAAAGCAAGGTAAAATCCAGCTTGACCATTTCCACAAGCTGCAGCAATTTGTCTTTCCTTCCCTTTCTCCCCGAATTTTTTTGGAATAGGTCAGGGGTAGGCAACCTTGGCTCTTTTATGACTCGTGGACTTCAACTCCCAGAATTCCTGAGCCAGCATGGGGGAACTATGGCCCCCTTGATGACTCGTGGACTTCAACTCCCAGAATTCCTGAGCCAGCATGGCTCAGCTTGGAAACTCTCCCTTTCCCCTCAGCATGGCTGGCTCAGGAATTCTGGGAGTTGAAGTTCACGAGTCACAAAAGAGCCAAGGTTGCCTACCCCTGGAATAGGTAATGCAGAATAAACCATTTTCCTAGAATGACAAAACCTGGGGATTTTTCCCCCCATCCCTAAGTGGGCAATTGGACTTGAGAATCAGGCTTACTGCACTGTGTTTTGGAATACGTAGTAGAGAATAAATCATTTCCCTAGAGTGACAAAACCGGGGGATTTTTCACCCCATCCCTGAGTGGGCAATTATTGTGGCCCTGTTCTAATAGCCGGCGATGCCATCCAAATAATTCAAAAACCTACGTCAAAAGCAAATGATGCCAGTTTGCCCTCATGTGACAGGATCATGTATATTCATCAAGGCAACTGTTTGGCTTTGAATAGTGCTACATATCTAACTATACTTGGTTGAGTGTAGCAGTGCTTCCGGACAAAGTCATTTTGACTTCTTTCAGGAGAATCTTGCAAGGTTTTCCCGATTCCATTCATAACTCTTCTTATTGTTTTCTGATTCCATTCATAATAATAATAATAATAATAATAATAATAATAATAATAATAATAATAATAATAATAATAACAACAACAACAACAACAACAACAATAACAACAACAACAAGAAGAAGAATAAAGTTGGAAGGGACCTTGGAGGTCATCTAGTCCAACCCCCTGCTCAGGCAGGAAACCCTACACCATTTCAGACAAATGGCTGTCAAGTCTCTTCTTAAAAACTTCCAGTGTTGGAGCATTCACCGCTTCTGGAGGCAGGTTGTTCCACTGATTAATTGTTCTCACTGTCAGGAAGTTTCTCCTTAGTTCTAGGTTGCTTCTCTCCTTGAATAGTTTCCATCCCTTGCTTCTTGTCCTGCCTTCAGGTGCTTTGGAGAATAGCTTGACTCCCTCTTCTTTGGGGCAGCCCCTGAGATATTGGAACACTGCTGTCCTGTCCCCCCTCGTCCTTCTCTTCATTAAACTAGACATACCCAATTCCAGCAGCCGTTCCTGATATGTTTTAGCCTCCAGTCCCCTAATCATCTTTGTTGCTCTTTTCTAGAGTCTCAACATCTTTTTTACATCGCGGTGACCAAAACTGGATGCAGTATTCCAAGTGTGGCCTTACCAAGGCCTTGTAAAGTGGTATTAACACTTCATGTGATCTTGATTCTATCTCTCTGTTAATGCAGCCCAGCACTGTGTTGGCCTTTTTGGCAGCTGCAGCACACGGCTGGCTCCTATTTAAGTGATTGTCCACTAGGACTCCGAGGTCCCTCTCACAGTTACTACTACTGAGCAAGGTACCCCTTATAACTCTTCTTATTGTTTTCTCTATCAGTGCTTCCATCATTTTCTTTTAAAAAAGTAGCTTCGGTGTGTCTGGTTTGGGAATAGCAGCAGGAACCCTTTGACAATACAGGTAATCCTTGACTTATGACCATAACTAAGCCCAAAATTTCTGTCGTTAAGTGAGACATTTGTTCAGTGAGTCTCGCCACGGTTGCTAATTGAATCACTGCAGTTGATAAGTCAGTCACCTGTTTATTAAGTGAATATGGCTCCCCCCCCATTGATTTTGCTCATCAGAAGTTTGCAAAAGAGGATCACGTGACCCTGGGACATAGCAATGGTCGTCAGCTTGAACCCGTTGCCAAGAATCTGAATTTGGATCACATGATCATGGGGAATGCTGCAATGGTCGTAACTGTGAAAAACAGTCACAAATAAGGTTTTTTTTGTTAGTGCCGTTGTAACTTTGAACAATCCCTAAGTGAACTTTTGCAAGTTGAGAACTACCTGTATGGCAATTCATGAGTGTCTTTCAAATATGCATGAAGTCAGCCTGCAGGGGGCGCAGTTGGCCAACATTTCTCTGGGATCCCATTCCCCTTTTATCTTCCTTTAATTAAATGGTATTTCTTGCAGAGTGTCCCATGGGTCAACGCTTTGCTAAAGAAATAAAACCAGAACACATATCCCTTGTTACCAGCTCTTTGGTCCTGACATCCAAAGGTTTTTACAATTTGCATTTGCATCCTTTTGGAGAGTCGTTGAGGCCACTTGGAGGTTTGTTTGTTTCCTCAAGGTCACCTGTGTAGTGCAAATGGGTGTGGAGCCTTCCACACAGTCCTTTCAGCAGTTCCAAGAAGGCTCCACACCCATTTGCACCACTCAGATCACCCAGAGGACACAGAGAAACCTCCAAGTGGCCTCAACGACTCTCTAAAACAGACATGTCAAACACAAGGCCTGGGGGCCGGATGCGGCCCGCGAAGTGGTTTCATGTGGCCCACGAAGCCATCCTGAAAACAGTGAGGGAACGGCCCCTGCTGCCTTGGCCCTGGCCCAGGCCGGCCGGGAGCCAATGTACAATTTTGTGGTGGCCATCTATGCTGAAAGGCATTCAGTCTTAGCTCCACAAGGCCGTCTAGAAACAGCGAGGAACCAGCCCCTGCCGTGTCGGCCCTGCCCCCTGGGTGCATGCTGGGGAGGTGTCACCCTTTATGAGGAATGAAGAAATGGACCATGCCTTGATGCTTGCTCCGGTCCCACCCCCTTTTGCCAGAGACCCTCAGATCTGTCCCACTCCTGCCCAGGCCCCAACAGGCACCCTTGATGCGAACAATGTTGAGTTGGCCATGCCCATTCAGTAGGCCACACCGACTCCATCCACGCCCACCCAGTAGGCCGCACCCACCCTGACCACACCCACCCGGCCCCCCTAGGGCAACCGCAATGCTGATGCGGCCCTCAATGAAATTGAGTTTGACACCCCTGCTCTAAAAGAATGCAAATGACCAGCGCTCTGCAAGGAATATAAATCCTTCCATTCCCCACTATCTAGTCAGAGCTGAAGAAGCTTCTTGGATGAGAAGCGAAACATCTTCAAGAAAAAACGAAGTCCACTTGCCTTTTGAAAAAAAAAAAAAAGCATCTTTGGGACATGTTAGTAGGAATATTTCTGTGTGCAAGTCTAAATATTCATGTGCATGTATACTTCTAGAAAGGGCTTTTTTTGGCTCCATGCTCTATTTGTCTATCTGAAAGCTAATTTGAATTTTTAATCAGGAAATTCAGACAGTACAGTGTAAATTGCTAAATGAAGGAGTTGCCAGAAGCAGGTGTTTCTGGATGGAAACAACAGGATGATGTTGTAATCAACAGGAATTTTCTTGTTGTTGTTTTTGTTAGTCGCGAAGTCATGTCCGACCCATCGCGACTCCATGGACAATGTTCCTCCAGGCCTTCCTGTCCTCTACCATCTTCTGGAGTCCATTTAAGCTCACACCTACTGTTTCAGTGACTCCATCCATCTACCTCATTCTCTGTCGACCCCTTCTTCTACCAAACTGGACTGCAAGGCGATCAAACTGGTCAGTCCTAGAGGAGATCAACCCCGACTGCTCTTTAGAAGGCCAGATCCTGAAGTTGAAACTCAAATAATTTGGCCACCTAATGAGAAGGAAGGACTCCCTGGAGAAGTGCCTAATGCTGGGAAAGATTGAGGGCAATAGAAGAAGGGGATGGCAGGAATTTTCTAAAAATTCATTAATCATCTTTGTTAATCCCACTGATGCTGTCATAGATATTCTTGTACTATTAGTAGAAATTATTACGTCCAACAAAAAGGACAACAAAGATGTGGTTTGGTTTTCAGGAGCAGTGCAAAACAGAATTAGGTCAGCATGCTCCAGCCAACTTTTAAATCCAGGGAATGTTTAAAAAGGATGATCCATGTAGCTTTTTCTCAGTAGAAATCTATTGATCTGGGTAGGGAAAGTGATTACAGTAGGATCAAAGCAAACACATTCTCATCAAAATTTAAAATTGCGGATATATTCAAGATTTAATGCCCCAAAGAAGAGAAAGAAAAGATTAATCGTGTGTTCATTAGCGATTCTATATCATATTTGACAGTATCAGACTCTGGGGAGATACTAAAGAGACTGACTAAATTTGATCACTTTTGCTATTTCTTAAATGTCTAACTTGGCTGCAAATATATGAATGACCAGTAGGTGGCAACATTAGCTTTCTGTATCTCTTTGCTGTCCTCTACTGGTTATCTAGAATTTTGCAGCTGAGATATAATAGAGGTATTATTTCCCCTTTATTTACATCCATCTTCAATCTACACACATTAACTCTGAAGTAGGCACTACTGAGGCTTTATTTGCTAAAAAAAAAAAAAAAAAGTTACACAGAATGGCAACCTGTTTCCCAGAAAAGTTCAAGAGATTTTTGCAAAAGAAAAGAAAAATGTTGTAGGCAGTATCAGGTGAAGAATTAAAACAGCCCACAGTCTTTGAGGTTCTCTTTGATGATTATATCTGTTACAGCATCAAACACGAACTTAACGTTCTGCGTGTCTGTTGCACAAGTCATGTGGGCATAGATCTCCTTGTCTTCTTTTCTGATGTTCAGGTCTAAAAATTGTTCCTTAATATAATTTCCAGCCTCTTCAAAAGTGTTTGGTCCTGCTTGGAGAGAAACACAAAGGAAACTCTTCATAAAATACTGTACATTGTGGCCTAGAACGCCTTATTCTTTTCTTATCCGCACACAATGTTTTTATTTCAACACCAATCAAGAAATGTCTATGGACATTCACAGTCTATCCAGGTCATGGCTGTCCCAAAGGTGCTTTTTTATTAATTTTTTACAGCTTGCTAGCTACCTTGAAAGCAAGTTTCACGTCAAGCCATGTAAAAGGTCATAAAACGAGGACACTCCCATGGCCAAGCATGATAGGTAGGCTGCATTATAGTAACAACTCAAGGACTACACATTTATTTCTGGGCACTTTTATCACCTTTTTATTATGATAAGGGATCAGACTCTCTTGTCATTTTCAGATTGTGATCTATCTTTTGCATCTCTCTCTTTATTCTCACACGACACATTGTGAGTTACAGATCCTTCCCCCATATTTTTTTGGTGGTATCTAAAGTAGCATTCCTCCCTAGAACCCCTTACAGTAAAAAAACCCCAGGCATGCAGTTCTCTAGGTGAACCAAAATGCAGTTCTCAGAATCCTGATGTCTTTAGTTCTTCTTCTCTATTAGTCTTTCTAGGGGCTATTGTCCCACCCAAGACCCTCCAATGGGGAAGACGTCACCAGAAGAAGGTCCATCTCCAGGCCTGATGGAATATAGAATATAATAGGGTTTCCTGCCTGAGTAGGGGGTTGGACTAGAAGACCTCCAAGGTCCCTTCCAACTCTTTCAAATTATTATTATTATTATTATTATTATTATTATTATTATTATTATTATTATTATTATTATTATTATTATTATTATTACTATGGATCATCGCACAGTCAGCCAGATGTTCAGACTGGATTTGGCATTTTGTCTACCTATCGAGTCCTTCCCAAGGACCTGGGATAGGCAGATGTGGATGTTTGATGGTATTACAGATATCGTCGCAGGATGGAAGCAGTTCCTAGTAAGGCCACCTTTTGCAATTGACTAATGGCGAATTTGTCAATTTATTTATTTATTTATTTTTATTAATTGTATTTATATCCCGCCCTTCTCCTTTCGGACTCAGGGCGGCTGACAAATGATAAAAAGCTAACATATTACACCTAGTTAAAATTTAATTAAAATGAAATATTTGAGAATGTCAAATTTAAAAGTAATTAAAACCCCTATAAAATCCCCTAGGCCAGTCCCGCTTGCTGGAACAACCACGTCTT